GGCTTGGAAGGTCCTTCTAATTTCCTCTCCACCTTTACTCTTCATATTTTCGTTTCGGATAACCAAATCCTAACCTTGTGATTCCCTCAGTTGTAAGGAACCTTCAGTAAAAGGACTTCAGGATGTTGCAACACGGGCATTCACTAGAAGCAATCAAGTTGCTCATGACGCTGCGGAGAGCAAGAGGCAATCAAGTGCGCAGCTAGTTGATAACCCGAACCTAAGCCCACTTGCAAGGTTTCTTCTCTCAAGGTCAGTCTGCTGTTTATTTTTTTCTTCTGTTTAGGAATTGTCAACTTGCATGAAGCTTTGGCTTAAGATTGACTGGCTTTGTTGTCTGCAGATGGCAGAGCCAAGTATCACACGATATCAACTCAGTTTAAGAGGGATGCTGCCACATAAAGATTTCGATATCCAGCTGTCTCCTGCTTGCTTGTTTTAAGTGTATAATTAATTTTGATTCTGTACATACGTTTCACCATAATTTAATCTTTCCTTATAAGCTGCTTTGGTTTGATGCCATTTATTTTTTACCATCGTTTTAACTGTTTTTTTTTTAAATTCGGGGGACTATTTGTATCATTATTATTTTATTTATTAATTCACAAATTCTTACATTCATGTCGATGCCATTTCTAATGTTTTGTCTTGGAATTGTCAACCACGGCTCCAATTGAGTAAGGATTCTATTAGAGTATGCCATAAAAAGAGTTGATAATACCATTCACGAGTGATTAGAGGGTTAGTTTGGTAATTCCGACTATCTTTATCAATGGTGAAAATCACCTCACTCTTATAGGGTGGTTCTGATATGGTTCCTACACGATCCAATATATTGCTTAATCGGTGATCAGCACTCTAATCATTTGACTGTTTTTGAGTATTGAACTTACCGGTATCACATGTCTTCATACTATCTGCGATTGATGCACGTCAGAAGAGCCGGAACAAATGAAAGTCAAATGTGGTACATGTATTAATGGCATGCGAAGATATTCAAAGGACTCTTATAGATGTGTATTATTTACGATCCAGGATGGAGAAAGTATATTGGTTGTATAATTATAATTATTTTAGGAAATAAAGGTGAAGGGGTATATAACCACACATTTATAAGTTGACACAAAGTTTTCACACTACGATGCACACCTATAATATTATATAAATATATATAATATATATATATATATATATATATATATATAATTATATAATATATATTATAATACTACTATATCGAATTAAGTGTATCCTGTCATAGGATGGATTTCCTCATTGACGCTCTAAATCACATGATGAGCGACATATGTAAACGTTCCGGAAACTTGATCTCCATATTCTAAAACCCCATCAACACACTCAGTTGGGGTGAAGTCCGTCGTCGTTTGACGCCTCACGAGCCAGGAAAAGTTCTATTCATTCAAACCGTAATTGATACGAGTGGATGAAAGGGTCCAAACGACGAGGTCACAAACTGTGTTGGGTAGAATATGTAGAGTCAAAGTTCAATGGAGCGGATACATCCACTTAATGTCGCTAATCATGTGATCAGAGCGCATAAAGGAGAAATCCTCCTATACAAGGATACCCTTAATCTCTCTCTCTTCTTCCTCCCTCTATAATATATAATATATAATATAATATATAATTATAATATCTTATATCGTAATATGTTAGCCCCCTACAGGTCACATCGTGGAGGCTCACATGTCATAATCACCTTGCAGCTTAGAAATTTGCCTACCGTGCCAGTTCACCTCCCGATTATATATTTATAAAATTATATATATATATAAATATTAATATATAAATAATTAATAGATATAAATATATATATAATAAATATAAAATATTAATAGATTAATGGGTATCCTTGTTATAGGAGGAGATTTTTCTCCTTGTCGCCTATGTGGCATAATCCCCACCATTCTCATAAAGTAGGCACAAATCTCCACCAACTCACACATACTCTCCTACTTTATGAGGATGGTGGCGATTGTGCCACATAGGCGTCAAGGAGGAAATATCTTCCTATGACAATGATACCCATTAATCTCTCTCTCTCTCTCTATATATAGTTTCGCCTCTTATACATAGTTTGGGAGATAAAATAGGTTTAATGATTTGGATGACAATGTGAAAAACTATTTAACCAATTGGTAATTGGGCTCTGGGCCAACCAATTACAGCCCATAACAAAGGCAGGTGACCAGCGCCACAAACAAAATATAGCCGTTACGCAAAATACTTATCAAGCACATAAGCTCGATGCTCGCTCATCTTGCCTTATTAGAGACCCCAAATTAGAGACCCCCGCTTCATTGAACTCGCCCCAGTTTCAAAAGAAAGTAAAATGCGACCGCTAGAAATCACAAGTTTGCTAGTTTCCCCTCATCTCTCCCTTCATACGATATCCCAAATTTCTCCAGAGTGTGAAACAAAGAACCAAGCAGCACTCCAACAACTCTCTATCACTTTCGCTCGATTCTTTGAAGAGAAAGACGAGTTCTTGAAAAGGGGTTTTTCCCCCTAATGTGGAGTGAGTCGAAGGATGGAGTTGATTGTCCTCAGGCTGATGAGTCGTATGAATTCTGCGCGCCTCGATTCTTCGATTTCATGAACGAGGAGAACGAGGATGAAATCAGGACTGCCGAGCTCTGGCTCCAGATCTCGCAGAGCTATGCTCCTTTCGTATGTGTTTTTTTAACTCCTTTTTTTTCCTTGTAATGTCATCGCAACGAACTTTCGAATTTTTTGATTTGGGTCTTCATTTGTTGATTTTCTTTATTATTGGGCGCAACAACAGAAACCCATGTTCTCAATTTTCATGTTAGTTTTGATTTGTGGGTTGAATTGTGTTTCTTGGTGCATTTTTAATAGCTTTCATGCCAAAGATCAAAGAAGGGAGAACTATTCAAATTGATACTCTCTTTTATCCCAATATGATATTTAGCTTTCTTTTATATATTTAATAGAAGAAACCAGATGATACAACTACTGCAGCAGATAAAGCAAGGTCAGTTTAATTTTTTTTTCTATCTTTTTAATAAAACTTCTCTTCTATAGTTTATTTAGTCTTAACCCATAAAGCTACTTCTTTACATTAATTAGAGATGCCCAAGATTTGATTGTTGCTGCTGAAGCTGGAGGAGCTCAGCGGCATGAAATGAATAACGGGAAAATGTAGATGGTTATGTCATAGTGATGATTAAATGTTACTTACATTGTTTCTTATGTGGAAGTTGGTTCCAATATCTAGTGGAAAACCTTGCTTTCAGACTCCTGAAGTTAAGCCTTGTGAAACCGAGCGTGACCCTCAAACAGAAGAAAAGGTTCAATCAATATATTAGCATTTACTTTATGCAAATACTAATTCAAGTAACACTGCCTGCCTAACTCAATTTTGCCACTTTGATCTTATCACTGCAGTTCATCTATGGAGATCTCTTCCTCTTCTGTTCCAGTATTGAACAACAACATCTCTTCTTTCGCATTTCCTATTCTTCCATCATTCAATATCCTTGCAGCTTCAGGTACATAAATAATTATATATTCCAAAGTTTCAGTTATTGTTTCATTCGAGCTTTTCAATTCAAATATTCCCTAAACATCATTATCGCGCATCTTAGTTTTTCTTCAATTGTTATTAAAGGAACAGGCTGTTGTGCGCAGCGGAATTCGAAACACACGAAAAAAAAGCACAAACAAGAACGAGATAGATCATGACCAATAAGTAAAACATAATCACCACAACAAGACAAACGAATTTTACGTGGTTCGGCAAATTGCCTACATCCACGGGGCAAGGAGGGAGGAGTTTTACTATTAGAGATAAAGAGAATTACAAATAGGGTTACAAATCTCACCAAAAACCCTCAAACAAAGCTCTCTAAATCTCTCACAAATTCTCTCACAAAGGATGCACAACACACTCTCAAAAGCTGCTCAAAAACGTCATTTCTTAACCCTAATTAATCAGGTTGAAGGTTATATATCAGCTCATAACGAAACGAGTCTGATATCCAAACCCAACTCAAAACCCGACTGGCGATCGACCGCCAAATTTGTCGCGGTCGACCGTACGCAACGACAGAAACCTAAAATGATTACAGGGTTTCTACGGTCGACCGCGACGGTCGACCGAACCAAATACAGAGACCCAGAATTCTACAGGGTCCCTGGCGGTCGACCGTGACGGTCGATCATCCCAACTCCAGAAACTACTTCCATCTTGTGCACGTTTTTGGTCGACCGCCGAAGTCCTCACGGTTGACAAGCTAGTTTCCAGATTGTTTTTCCTGAGTTTTTTCAATAGAGTTCACCAATCCTACAAATCTCCAGCTCGATGAAGTTTCTCCCAAAACCGAGCTAACACCAAAGTAATCAAATGTCCTACTTGTTGCGTCCAGTACGAAGTGGAATAAATCCACGACAATATACTCAATCCACAAGTCGGGAACCCAAACGAGAGCTTAAACAATCTCCCCCCATCGAAATTCACAAATCCAAACCGGCTGCATCGAAAAGATTGCCTATGTATCCTTTTGTTCAAAGAATCAAGCTTCACGTAGTTCATCCAAATGGCCTCCAAAAAACCCTCAACATCAAAGAATGTTCTATAGCTCCAAACAATGACCAAACTTAACACAAACTTTTATTATTCAATGACGAGACTGTTGACTCCCACTGTGGTCGCCAGCGTGTTTGTGTCAAAAATTGATTTCATTGCCAACGAACTCATTACAACCATTTATCGATTACAAGTTCGAAAAAAGAGAAAAGTAGATCTTTTTATAAGATCGACTTATACAATAAAAATAAAAAGAATACAACTCTTATCAAATAGCACAACAACAATTTATCTCCTGTTGTTTGCGTGAGAACTTCGCCTGTACTGAGGACACGTTAGTCCATGGATTACCACGGATCCGATCCGATTGACAGATTGATAATCAATGCTCTTACTTCACGAAGAAAGTAATCACAGCAGGGATAACCTCGACCAAACGAGATTACGGCTCTTCTTGAGATTAAGACCAAGCTTAAATCCGGAGGAATAGGGGAGAATAAGTCTCAGATCTCTCGAACTCACTTTTTTTATTGAGAAATTTCACCAAGATCTACTAACTCTCTGAAATTTATGCTTCACTCTCCAATTCGACAGCACTTCGCCCTCTTGATTTTCAAATATAGAGAAATAAGCCCCTAGGCTTGTATTTATAGGCTTCGGTTGGGGTGTTTTAGATAAGAACAATGGATCCAGTCTTATCTCCAGTTAACTACCATATATCCACGTTTAGAGATGACATTTAGGCAGTTAGGAACCTCTAGAGCAGAAGAAATCCCGTGAGAACCCGTCAAAAACTGCCAAAATGCATTTTCGGATAACATTTGTACGAGCCACTAGCCATTGGCTCTGGCTGAGTCCGATTTGGTACGACTCGGCCGCCGACGACTATTCTGGTTTTTTGGGTTTTGACATGTTACGTCATTTACGCGTATTTCGTCGTTTCACTGACTGATATGCTTTACCGATTTGGTTCATATGTTCTGTGAATGCGCGGATCGCTTGACGGTGGCTGATGAGCGTACATGCCACTTGGTGGCGGCCGGTGAGTACATGGGCCACTTGGAACTGGCTGATGAGTGCGCGGACCGCTTGGAGATGGCCAATGAGCGCATGAGTCACTTAGTTTGCCGTTTTGGTGGTCGATGAGCATGCGTGCCACTTGGTGGTGGCCGGTGAGAGCACGGATCACTCGGATAAACCTTCTCGATTTGGATAATGACGTTTATCATCTCCTCTTCATCTCAAGCTGCATGCGAGAATCTATAGGTATTTTTAGACGCCTACAGATACCCCCTCCAAAGTGTTTTAGTTTCATTCTCTTATAGAGGAGTCCGAAATACTTTGGATGTGATAGTCCCCACCTTCAGTCGTTGTCAAAGGACATGTAGTTGGCTTTAATTATTGACTTCTTTGATTTCCAGTCTATTTAATATTTTGACGAATAGCTAAAATTCATCTGGCGTTGCGTTTATCGTCTGGCCGTTGTCGAAGTCTCGAATTAAAACTGATGAAGCCGTTGTCGAAGTCTCGAATTGAAACTGATGAATTAGTTTTGGTTCGCGTCGTTGAGTTGACTTTGAATTGACTATTTTCATTGGAAATTCATATCTGAATTTTAGGATTGATCGGAGGCTACATGTTGACCGGCGTATACACAGTTTATACTCATATGTCAACTGGAGTTTAGACAGTTTAGGCTCTTAAGATATTAGAGCGGGGAGAACTAGTTTATATTCGTATACTCATGGGAGTTTTGGGAATCAATTTAACCTCGTGTACCCGTTGGAGGTTTAAGGAGATACAATTTAGACTCTTATACTCATTGGAGTGTCAATACGGGTGTTGAATACGTTGAAAAACATTCAAAAATGGGTCAAAATGTATGCAAAGTGTCCCCGAAGCCCTCCACACGTGCGAGCCAGCACCTCATGGCTCACATGTGTGTGAACCAGTATTTCGCGGCTCTCACACATGCGAGCCAGCAAATGATGCCTGGCCCGATCCGGTTCAATCCGGTTCAGAGCTTGATTTGGATAATGACGTTTATCGTCTTCTCTTTATCTCGAGCTGCATGTGGGGACCTATAGGCATTTTTAGATGCCTACAGATACCCCCTCCAAAGTGTTTTAGCCTCATTCTCTTATAGAGGAGTCTGAAATACTTTAGATGTGATAGTCCACACATTCAGTCGGTGTCAAAGGACCTGTAGTTGGCTTCAATTCTTGACTTCTTCGATTTCCAGTCTATTCAATGAATAGCTAAAATTCCTCTGGCACTGCGTTTATCGTCTGGCCATTATCGAAGTCTCGAATTGAAACTGATGAAGCCATTGCCGAAGTCTCGAATTGAAACTGATGAATTAGTTTTGGTTTGCGTCGTTGAGTTGACTTTGAATTGACTATTTTCATCGGAAATTCATATCTGAATTTTGGGATTGATCGGAGGCTACGCGTTGACCGGCGTATACACAGTTTATACTCATATGTCAACTAGAGTTTACACAATTTAGGCTCTTAAGATATTTGAGCGGGGAGAACCAGTTTATACTCGTATATTCATGGGAGTTTCGGGAATCAGTTTAACCTCGTGTACCTGTTGGAGGTTCAAGGAGATACAGTTTAGACTCTTATACTAATTGGAGTGTCAATACGGGTGTTGAATACGTCGAAAAACATTCAAAAATGGGTCAAAATGTATGTGAAGTGTCCCTGTAGCCCTCCACACGTGCGAGCCAGCACCTTATGGCTCACACGTGTGCGATCCAGTATTTCGTGGCTCACACACGTGCGAGCCAGCAAATGATGCCTGGCCCGATCCGGTTCTATCCGGTTCATAGCTTGATTTGGGTTCGGTTCAAGTGGTTTGGGTTCGGTTCATGGGATTTATAAATTCCCCAAAAAGAAACCTGACTTCCTCTCTTCTCCTCTCCATCGTTTTAGAGTTTTCTCCTCTTCCCAGATTTCTGATCCTTCTCTTCCAAGAATACCGATCTCTCCCTCCTTTAAATCCTTCAACTTCTTCTTTAACTCCCCCAACTTCCTCAAATCTTCAAGCAAGGCAAGCTAGGGTTTGGGTTTGGAGAATTCCCATCCGAGCTCCTCTCAACTTCCTCAAATCTTCAAGCAAGGCAAGCTAGGGTTTGGGTTTGGAGAATTCCCATCCGAGCTCCTCTTGCTGTTCTTTTCAACGGGGCTCTGGCAAGCTAGGGTTTGGGTTTGGAGAATTCCCATCCGAGCTCCTCTTGCTGTTCTTTTCAACGGGGCTCCTTCTTTGTTGATTCTTTTTCAAACTCAGGTAAGACCCGCGCTCTATGTTTTCAATTTGATTTCTTCGTTTTGATTGCTTGATTTTTTCAAAACCCTAGCTTTTTTGATTTGGGGGAAAACACAAAGCTTAATCTTGGGTTCTTGAATGATGGCCGAACCTTTGAGGGAGGCTTAGTTTGGGTTTAGACGTTTCAAACTTTTAGTTCTATGCAAATTTTTAGTCTTGCCTATAGCCGAAATTTTGGGTTTTGATGATTATTCTTCTTGTTTTGGTGATGATCGGAATTCTCCATCTAATTTGATTTTGGGATGAAACTTGAACCACTTGACTTCACCCTTAAGAACAGATTTGCATCTCCTTTTCATTGTTGTTTTCTTGTTTGAGAACTGACTTTAGATCGTAAACTGAAATCAGCGCTTGTTTGAACATCATCTAGGAATTAAGATTGTTAACTCATATAGACATAGCCGATACCCTTGATCTTTTGCTTGGCTCCAATTGATGACTGAACTTATTTGCTGGCTTGATTTGAATACGAGAGCCTACCCCTTAGCTTGAAGCATTTGACTTGGCTTGATTTGAACATAGCCCAGAGCTATTATCTTAATTTTGTGTATTGATAAAAACTTCATGTCCTAATTCTTATATCTGTAGGTTTAATTGGATTTTTAACCGAAAAGTCTTATTTTTATAGAA